CACTCTCCTAGTCGACCCACTTGACTTTTATTCATGAAAAACTTGAGTTACAAGAAAGACAATTTTGTCCCTCGTAGAAGATGGGACACAACTTAAACTCAGATACAATAGACATTTCACTTTCAATAAGATACACCAGAATGACCAAAATACCCCTGACTCGAGCATTCTAACATTAATATTTATTATCCTAATTTACTTTTAAAGTTCCATATAACCTTTTAACTTTATGCTTTGTTCATCCAAGTTTATAGTTATTCGATATTGTATTCAATTTCACTTGAATTGACTATGTTAAACTCACCACTGGTTTATCTTGCAACTTAAAATAGAAACTGGCATTGAAGAGCTGCTCAATGGATAGTGCGTCCAATTCTAACACTGGGGAAGGACATATTTATGATCTACGCAAGGTACTTCCCTTCTCCATGCATTTACAATCAGGGTAAGACAAGTCAATTATGAAAAGGCTGTGGTTCTTTTTTGTCAAATGTCTAAAACATGAGCTGACTCTTGTAGTAGCAGGTTATCATTTTACTATTTTTACTCTACATTTGAAGGGTGTCTAGAAATTGATTTATTTGTCTTTATTAACTGATTATCTTCTTTTTTTTTGTTTTCAAGTGGCTGATTTATAATTTGTTTGCTTCAAGGGTCCTAGGAGCTCTATTATATTCAACTGTGGAAGCAACCATGAGTTGTTGGAGGACATGGATACATCTGAATCAGATTGTTCTGATTTGGCTGATGAAGATTGGGATGAATCCGAGGCAATTGACGATGAATGGGTAGAGTCAGGTAAGTGGCAGGTGAAGAGGGGTTGTAAAACTAAACCACGAACAAAAGTTATAGCCAATTCCTTGGACACCAATGTTCCAGACAATTTGAATTCAGAGACTTCGTGTGCAGAAAGTATCCCTAAACTGGGACCTCAATCAGGTGCATGTTGTTGTAGTAAAAATTCCTCTTGTAAGACTTTGAAATGCGAGTGCCGTGCTGTTGGGGCCACATGTGGGGTTTCTTGTGGCTGTAAAGCAACTAAATGCGCAAATAGAGGACCTATTGAAGTCAAGGAGGATGAGCCACGCCTGTCAGAGTTGATTGAAAGTAGTGAGAACCACATTGGTAGTGATGAAACTGAGAAGAATAAGATTCTTGCCTCTCATGGTGCAACGCTTCTTCAAGGTGCATTAGCTGAGAAGCCTGTCAAGGTGAATGAGGACGGGACCCAGAGGCGACCCCTGTCTGACATTGGGAACACTATGGTATGTCTGGATTTAATACCTTTTGACTTTGGAAGGTGTTTTCCTCAAAATTGAGTATCAAGTGTGTCATCGTCATGATTCAAAGTTCACAATGTATCAGTCACCCTGAAAACCACTACATGCATACCTTACGATATACACTGATGCATTGTGATACTTTGAACCTTATTCATTAGTGAGGTTTGGTTGTCTGCACCTCACCGGATTCTTGTTACTTTTGGATGAATTAACCTTAAATTTGATGATTTAACATCCAATGTATTATAAGTTGTCATTGAACAATTTAACTGCCCTAGTCAGTGGGCCATGGAGTTTGGTTCAACTCTCGGCAGAAGCTAGAAATATTCTGGACTCAATGCAGGTTATTTTGAACTGGATTCCCAGGAAATTGAACACTGTAGCAGATGGGTTAGCTAAATCTGGTGCTCATAGAGATTGTTTTTTTAGTGATAGTGCTATACCTTTGTAACCCTTTCTCTGTTTCGATTGGAGTACATCTTCTCATGTACCTCCTTTTTTACCCCAAGTCAAAAATTAAGGGTGTCACTTTTTGCTAAAAAAAAAAAATCTAAATGGCTAACCGATTGAGCTAGTATTCTTTTGGAAACGTTTTACTTCATTTATATTTTTATATTTAAAGTTTTTATTTTATTGAAAAAAAATGATGCCTTGTTCTGTTCACATGTCGCCATAGTTTAACTGGTTTTGATTAAATGGTGAAAATTTTGGTTCAGTTGCTAGTTTGTTATTTTAGAATATTGGCGTGGTGTCCTACTTTGATGTGTTAAATAGTCGTCGTTTGATGGGTTTATTTATCATAAACAATCTCTGCATTTTAATATTCATATTCTAATAAAATCTCGAAAAATTATGCAGCCCAAGCCAAATGTACCAAAACCGAACAAGAGAAAGAAAAGGCAGAAGTCGTTCATCCAGCTTGTTCCAGTAGTTCAGCCTTCAAACCAATCAGAAAATACTGAAGCCCCAACAAGGCTAGAAACCAGTGCAGTTGAGTCAGATGTTCCTTTGAAGTTACCAAGGGCAATGAGATCTACAGCCATGAGTAATAATAATCCCTTGAAGGAGAGGAATTCTGATCATGTAGATGAATCCATTGTCAACAAGGAGGTCGGAACTGTTGGCTCAAGAAGTCCTCGACAGGCAGGAACTTTGGAAGAGAAAGAAAACAATGTTATCTGATTTATAATAATTCTTGTTTCTGGTTGGTGAAAATCAATCACTGCCAAGGCTATTGGGTCAACAACCGGAACCTGGTTGTCATCGGGTTTCTGATAGAGCCTTAAGTTGCTGTAGAGCAGTGAGGAATGTTTTTCTTTTCTCTTGGGAGGTGGGAGGGAGTAATGGGCGTAGGTTGATCAATGTTCTCTTTTTGATCAGTCTTGGCTGATTCAGAAGAAGTGGAACAATTAAATCCAGTTGTAAGCTGTAAACTAATATTAATATTTCTTTTTATTCTTTAGTTGCTTTTTTCCAGCATGCTCAGTTCCAGTGTTATGCCAGCGGAGACAGCGGTGAGACTCTTCAGCCAAACTACTATTTGCTACAGGTAAAGCATTCAGACGACGCAACCAATGACAACGGGGCGAGGCAGGGACGGGGAGCCACTCCCCATCCCCATCCGCGTCCCGGTTATTCCATCCCCATTACCGGGAGATCCCCACTCCCATGGTTTTTTATAATATTATTTTATTTTTGTTTTATTTAAAATATTAAAAATAAAATCGTTAAGATTTACAGTTTTATTAAAAAAATTAAATATATTTAATTATATTTTAAAATACTAATATACATATATATTAGTAGGGATCCCATGGGGTGGAGATCAAGGTGACCCCGTGGGGCAGGGAGTGCTCTCCTTGCCCCCACCAGCAGGGATGAAAATTTTCTCATCTCAATCCCTATGGAGGAAATCGTCCCCATTCCTGCCTCATTCAGGGTGAGTCCCGTAGGAATCAGAAAAATGGAGAAAATTGCAATCACTTACCATAATTTACGGTAAGCACAGACTCAAGTATCCTTTTGATTCTGTGAATATTTTGAATGGGAATAGTGCCTGGCCCAGGAGACTGGTATATTAAGGACTTTGCTCTGCTGAAAGCTTCTCGTGCTATAGTTTTTGTACATAATCATCGAGAAGAGAATTAAGTACAGATTCTTTGGCTAACGTAGTTTGTGATCAAATGGCAAGATCAACCTCACTCTACCCTCCAACAAAGAACTCATAATCTCATAAGATATGATGTTCTAATGTTCTGTGCCTGCCTAACGTAAAGATGGCTTTAATTTCTTCCTTTCTTTTGCTCCGTTTTTGCTCTAGACCTCTAGAGGTTTTTTGTAAGTTCTATGAACTGGGGTGTCTTCTGTATAGCTTCTCTAATGGAGTACAGTTTGGGGTTAAAAAAAAAAAATCAACCACAACTAGACCTGGCAAAAAGCTTGACCTAACCCGTGAACCCGACCCAATTCAACCTGAAAAAACAGAGTTAAGGTCTTATCCTTAGCTACATGAATGTGAGAATAACTCGACCCGATCTAATCCGAAAAAACTGGGTTGGATTGGATAATGGGTCAATCCGCTGACCCAATTGTCAAGTCTAATTGGGAATATTTATGCATTATTAGAAGTTTCTGCTCTTTAAATTTTTCTATTTAATCTTTACTCTATTGTTTACTCTTTAAATTGTTAAATGCTCGAGTTTTTTTATTTTTTATTTGGAATTTTTAAGGTTAATTCCTTTAAATTTGGTATTTTTCATGTAGCTTTTTTTATTATTTTAAATTTCGGTTATTTTTGGGATAACCCGAATTGACCCATGAGTCGATCCTAACCCAAACTTTTAGGGTTAGGATCTAGCATTTGATAACCCAACCCAAAATTCAACCCGAAGTGTCTTGACCCAACCCAAACCCGACCCACCCAACCCAATTGCCAGGTCCACAACATAAACATTCCACTGTCGTAGGGTAGAATTGTGGGAACCATGGGATATGCATGGCAACGCCCATCATGCACGATTCTAAGCACAGAAGATGGGGATCCTTGCTACGTTGTAAGCCTTGTGACGTCTGTCATGCCATTGCCTCGGTATCCAAGATGAGCAAACTTGGCTAATTCCAAAGCACTTCATGCTCGGGAGAAGAACAAGAAGAAAGATTGAAAGATGCATGCAAGAACTAGGAAGGAAACTCGCATGACTGTCGTGGCTACAGAAGTACTGAAGCCGATAGCATGTAGTAACGCTGTTCTTGTTTCATCAATATTCAATAAATAGGTTGCCTGTTGAATGTGGACACATAAGGTGCAGACAGTGATTTACCAAGTAGTAGAAGACTACATTTTCTTTTGAGTTTTGACCTCTGAAGCAAACTAGATAGTCAAGACCTTGCCAGTAGCCATACGATGGGTATATCCAAAGTCGGCCTGTAGTTCATATTCATGATTAGATAAATGATAGCTAGTGATTTACCCATTTTTTAGCTTCTCCAAATTCTTTTTCTAAGCAGCCAAATGCTAACAATTGAAATCAAATGATTGAAGAATGAGTTATTATTTACACCTTTTTAATAGGTGATTATCTATACAAATTTGCAAAGGATCAGCTCCTGTGGAAGTTCTGAATTCTCAGATACAACCACCATATCTGAAATCAGTAAGAAAAAAAAAGAAAAAAAAAAATTGCACAAACATGAAACGTGTATAATAGAGGTTTGCAAGACTCATGATTTCCTCACCCCTAGCTTGCTAGTTTGAGCTTTTCACCTCCTCCCTCCCTTTTCTCCTTGATCAATTGTTTGTGGTTCAAGCTTCACAAGTCGAGTGGTCCTTTGCTGCCCATTAAGTTCTGTTTCAAACCCTTTCTGTCACAAGCAATGCTTCAAGTTCCTGCCTTCGCCGCTCCAATTCCTGAATTTGTTAATGGGAGAACATTAAACATAACATTTATTGTGTTAACCTCAAATATACTCAAATGACTAGAGTTTCAAACAGAATAATACATCCTGAACAGGAACCAATTTCTAATGAAGAATAAAACTAGTATACAGCTATATGCCATATTATCTTATTAAAGGATCTACTAACTTCATAACTATAGATGTCTACAGTTTCATCAATCCTGAGAAGCAAAATAGAAAACTAAACCAGCGGCATCTATGCAGAGGATGTGCATGAATCAAAATTTAACATCTCTGAACTGTTTCAAGCTTAATGCATGATTAGTTTCTACATTTTTCAGTTAATTGAATTCACCAGTACGTTTGTAATGGTGTCCATGAAATTAATAGACCCAGACTGAAGTCAAATACTTGACCTCATTAGAAGAGCAATCTGTGCACCCAGTGGATATGATGCTAAATCTAGAAATGTCATCATATAGGCTAAAAAAGCATAAAAGAAAAAACACAATTTTTTCATTTGTATAGAACATAAAATACTTAAAAAAAATAAAATTCATAAATCTATTTATTTCACTAGTTAAAATGCATCAACACCAGTTGCGATGTTCTGCCAATTTAATCCAATTGTGTATACCATTGCCTTGGATCAGATTGCTCCCTGAGGGCTCAACTGTGGTCTGTGCTATCAAGCAATGATGCTCAAACCTAAAGTGGATTATGTTGCACTTCTGACACTGCTACTTCTCCATACCCTACTACTAAGTAAGATGCTTTCATGCGGATGCAAGGCCAAATGAGTTCAAACCTACTTTGTGTTCAGTTCTTTCAAAGCTAAAAAAGAAGAGGGTTATTCCTATTTTTCAGTTCAAACCTACTTTAAAAAGGTTATTTCCCTGACAGCAAGTACCTAGAAGAAAAACAGCCTTTTGAAAAAAAAGGACTGTTTAAAAAGTTGCAGAAAATCAAAAGAAAGTAGCAGAAATCAGGTTTCAAGAAGAGAGAAGAAGAAGAAGGTGGCGGCAACTAGGGTTCAGAGAGAGATTTTCGAACATAACCTTCTCTCTTACACCCCTAATTACATTTCATTAAGTTAAAACTTCAATAATTTGCAGAGAAGCCCCTAGTTGGGCAGAAAATTAAAAAACATAACACAAGGAAGAAATAAAGCCCAGATTAAGGCCCATTACAGCAAAGAACATAAAAAATAAAGAAGGATAGACAGCCTATGGGCCATTGGCCCATCTTCTCTACATACCTGAACACAAAACATGATATTTGATTAAACCTTTCCCATGCCCTAACCTGTAAAGCAAAACCAAAACTAACTATTCCCGCTTTTATTGTTTAGAACATCTGCCTACAGCTCACTAGCCAAAAGAAACATTCTCCTAGCTAAGTTGCTTTACAACAAACAACTAAAGAGAGTTTCAGTCGGAGTTGATTTCCTTGGGCATATAATTCTTGGTTGGTTCAGGAACAAAACCCTAAAGCCAGTCACTAGAAGTACCTTTTGCCTAGAATTCAGGAACTAAAACTGACAAGTGACTGTCTTGCTATAAGTGAAATTCAACCTCAAGTTCATCTTATAGAGCATTATGATGTTGATTCAATTAAAAATTAGGAAAAACAAAAGAAAAGTGGTTGACATAAGCCCTATCCCTTTCAAGAAGCAATAAGAGTGCTTCAGCTCACCTTGATCTAATTGCACATGACCTTAAGTATTTAAATTTATGAATGAATAGGACAAAGCAAGCAATTTAATATCACATTGGTTCAATAACAGTACAGTAATGATTAAACAATGCTCTAGAATTGAAACAAATTCATTAATCATTATACAAGCCTGAAATTCAAATAAAATCCCTCAAATCTCAATCAAATTAATCTCATATGAATTCTATTTATAAAGCTCTGTTAAATGAAAGGGAAGGATGTATAATACTCCAAAACCTAGATACCATCAGCAATATAGACCAAACCTTACCTCCAAATCTTTGAATGCTTGCTCCCTTGTAATCTTTTCGTGTTGACGAGCACGTTTAAGAAAGCCAATGCACAATGCACCCTAAGAATTGATATTTGAACCAAATATCAGTACTACAGCCGGAAGCTAAGCTTAATTAGATGGTCTTGTTAATTGAGCCAACCTACAGATTGGCATTGTTTTTTTTTTTTAATCAATAGATTGGCATTGTTACTTGCCTAGTATTTTAAAAGCGCAAGGTGCAAGAATTTTAAAAAGCCTTATTAGCTCAAATTAAAATACATAAAACTTTTTTTAGAAATGGTGAGAGCAGACAGCCCAGCCACCATGCTTAAAAATGTATAAAAAAAAAAGCAAAATTTAACAAAGGCACAAGCCTGGGCTGAACAAGGTGCACACCTTCCTAAAGGAGCTTCACCTGGGCCTAGGTAAGGTGCAGGCCTTGAAATGCACCTCGCCTTGCACCTAGGTGTGCCTAAGCCGAGCCTTTTCAATCACTGCATTTGCCTATGAAACCTTCTATAATACTAGCTGAAAATAGGTCATAGAGAACAAGAGAAATTCAACATGCAGCACAGACATAAGTAGGTAATCTATTTTGGAGCCTTGTCAAGCTCCAAAAAATGGTAGAAAGCCTTTCACAGATATTAAAAGTTTAAAGGGATTTGTTTTTCATAACTTAACAAAACTTCATCTACTAAATAGAGCCAAGCCAATCAAAGTCATAGGTCAGGTCAATGAATTAAAAGTTATATCGAGTCAGAGCTTACAAGCTAAATTTACCAACTGCATGAGTTTTTGTGTATGCGATATTACGAGTTAAAAGAAAAACAGCAAATATCGACCAAACATCATAATGGTGTATCTAGAAATAAGTGATTTTTATTTTGCACCTTTTTAGTTGAAAATATTATCTTACCAAAACAACATAGGTCAGACCACAAGCAAGAAGCAGATAGCTTGCTATATTTTGAAGGAGAACAAGATCTTTTCTTGCTCCATTGGCATCAGGGAACGCTCTTGTCATCACAGCAACACTGAAAGAAAAATTTCCCGACTTACCACTTACTATCATAATAAATATAAAAGATTTATTGCTTGTAACATCTTAGGAGGTGAAGATTCATAATTCAGTACGAAAAAATGAAAACAAAAACAATATCTTTTTGGCAAAAGGATGCATACAAGATCTGTAGCATGCCCCTTCCAGCCCAATACTCCAGTATCTGCAGCAACGGCAATTGTAAACGTTAGATGGCATGACAGCAAGACATGTGAAGAAAGTAAACACCACTAAAGAATTGAAACCCTTAAATATCAAAGCCATTGGAAAACACGATGGGTTTCTCTCCTGAACAATATGGAGATGGCCCACCTTTAGAATGCAAAATCAATAGCTATAACAATTTTCTGAAACTTGGACCAGCATATCCCTGAACCATTTGAACTGTAACCAGGGCCTAACATCTCAATCAAGATAATCTTCAATTTGAGCTAAAACATCTAAGTACCTAAAATTTTGTATCACCGGTACCATAGTTGCAACTTGCAAGCCACAAGCTACGATACTCTAAAGTCTCATACTTTCTTTGCTGAAGGTGTCCTTGGAACTGGATAGCGTTTTATATCACCTAGCCATTTAAACCAACAACATACGAACTTGTACAACATCCTTTCAATTAACCCATGACAAAGTAAGAGCTACAAATGAAGTTCAGCTAAAATTGCGCTATAAAAGATTTTAAGCATTTTACATCAGCAATACAAGAAAATAATTAAACTGTCAGAAGGGAACAATTACACGAAAAAGAAACAGAACTCACTTTCCAGAACTTGAAAATGAATCCCCATTCTGTCTCAGCAACAACCACAAAGACAGCGATAGCAACTGCATAGCAGCGAAAAATCCCATCGAAAACCTGTAACAGATAATAGAAAAAAAAATAAGCATCGCATATATTCCGGCAAAGATGAGTAAATGCAGAAAAGAAACGATGTTTTTGCTTACATCAGATCCGTTCCTGAAGGATCTGACAGCAGAGAGAACATTGACGAAAATGCAGAGAATCGCTGTTAAGGAAGTCAAGACGCTGAAGCATCTGCAGACGACTAAGAAAGGGTCTGCTCGTGACCTAATCCTGACCGACGGTGCGGAAGATCCCTGCGAACTCTCTTCGTCTCCATTTCTCGCCATCTTGACAGAAAGCTTCGTTGCGAAGTTGTTCTTTCTTGCTTTCGGAGTTCGAGAACAGAGAATAGGTTGGGGGCCCTTACTTACTTTTTTTTCTTTGCTGTAGGGGACCATTATTTTACAAATTAGTAAAATGGTAGGAATCAGTAGTATCTGGCAAGCGTGAGAACGCGGGTTCGAATCTGAGAAGTGAGAGCGGCCACTGGCGAAAAGGTCGAAAATGTTTTATCGTTTTCCGAGTGTGCGTTCACTCGGTCTCGTAACACGTGGCAACTGAATTAGAAATGAAAGTTTGCCACGTGGCGATCCTCCTCTTCTCGTGACCGGATTCCAATCCATGGTTTGAATTTCGTCCTTACTTCCCACAAAGCTGATCCTTACGAACTTTGACTAACAATTGAAAGTTGCTACGGTTAAACGATGACGAAGGCCAAGATTTTTTTTTTCTTAAAAGGAAAAAGGAAAAGATACTAATCAGACGGCTACAGTCATTCTACGTTCATTTTTGAACATATCACTTTGGTTATTTGCGTTAGCCATATAGTCACCAGTCACAACAAGACAAGAGTGAGAGGAGTCACAAACTCACTGGATTCTCTCTCTCTCTCGTGGCCGAGACGGCACGATGAGCCCGTTCCGCCAATTACAGTGAATTATTGGATTAAAATAACGCGATCATCTTTGCTAGTGGGAGTCTCTTTCAGTCTTTCTCTCTCCTCCAATGTATATAACGACAGAATTTTAGTGTATCGGCATCGTCACCGAGTCTGAGAATTCGTTCCAAAGAAAAAGATGGAGACAGTAGTGAGAGATGAAACTGAAAATGGAAAAACAGAGGAGCAGAAGGGTATTACGAAGGACGCTTCGATTTGTGGATATGATTCGCTCCATCGCCTCCTAAGCGCATCTCTCGAACCCCATGTCTTCCAGGTAACATTATGTTTTTCTTCTTTTTCTTCTGAGAAGAATTTAATTTTGATGGTTGTTGAGATCGAAAGTTGATGTCGAAATAATCTAAAGTGATTCTCCTTAAAAAGTTACTTTTGGAGATTATGGAATTGGGGTGTGTAGGGGATCTCTGAGACTAATCTTTTCCGACTTCGATTAGTTTTCTTTGGATGGGTTTCTTTTTCTGTTTCTTCCTTGTAGGGCTTTCCATTCTGACATTCTGAGCTTATTTATACGTCCATTATGGAGTTGGGCACTCTTATCTGGTTCAATTATGACTGAAGCCGCTGCATTTTTTTTTTTTTTTTTACTTTTTTGCGCTTATATATGTGTGTGTGTGTGTGACTTGATTTGATCCTTCGTTTGGAAAACCCGGTTTTGCACTTTTGCTTTCTTGTTTTTGTAGACTATCAGAATCGAATAGTCTAGGTGTCGGAAGCTATATACTTATGTCTTCTAGATATTGCTAAGCGTAAATTAATTATAATGTTGCAGGAAGTAAGTCGCTTACTTCTGGGACTGAATTGTGGAAGAGCGCTTGATCCTATTGTTCTCCCAAAGTTGGCTACTTCTTTTTCTAAGGAACATGATTTCGACTTGCAGGTATGGCTTGGGTTCATTTGTTTGAATTGTTTGTACACCACTTCAGTCTGTAGAACTACAGAGAATAGATTTTTCCAACCATGTTCTGCCATGAATGTTCAACTGGCAACAAGGTGACACCAATTCCAGGGGAACGTAATAAAATTAATGGGTGCCTGACCTTTGGTTTTTCCCCTCCTTTCTTTCCCTTTGTTGTCTACTGGGAGCAAGGTTTTATAGTTGCTGGGGATATTTTGGACTGAAGAGACCTCATACTAACTACTAAGAATGTATTTCTAACAGGTCCAACCTATTGGATGGACACTCATGCATTCAGCTAGGCCATTGGGGACAATTAACAGGATTTCCCGTAGAATATCAAATTGCATACCTCTGTAATATGTTCATTCCTGTTAATAAAAGTTGTAGTTTGTGATTATGTCATTACATGGAGAAGAAAATTGTGCTTTGCCATTAGGTCATTTGCATGGAGCATTAGCTAAAAACTTTGAAAATGTTGATGCATTTTAGCATGTGGAGTTCAGTTCCATCTAAAGTGATGCTTGTTCTTCCTTTTTTGAGTTCTTCACTGTGCCTCTTGAAACTGTTGAGTTGGTCCGGTTTGTTTTTTATTTAGTTAGGAAGTTGTTGGGCTTTAGGCCCATTAGTTTATGTTTTTTTAAGTTGTGATTGTTCAGCTATATTAGTAGTCGCCCTACTAAGGGCATCCTTGTAATATCTCATCCTTTAAGTTAAGTATAAATATAATGAGAGGTAGGCGGCTAGGGTTAATTTGATAATCCTGGTTGACTTCCTACTCTTTTCTTTTCCTTTCTTCTCTATTGCTGAAATCTTCATCTTCCCCTCTTTCCTTTCACAAGAAACTCGACTAAATCTACAATTAGTGATTTCTACTTGGTATCAGAGCGGGCCGAAAGTTCCTTGAAGTTGCTCTCTCATGAAGCCCTAGATCGGCTGACTGCATGGTGATTTAAGAGGCTGATCGAACCTCTCAGGTAAGCCCAGTTTTTGGATTTTTTTGGCGGATTTGTATGCCCTATAGCTGGTCTAGGGTTTGTCATCAAAATCAGGAAAAACTGGAGAAAGGGGAAGAGTCATGTTTCTGTTTGACTCTTCAATTTTGACCTAGGAAGTGACGCCCTAATTTTTTAGGGTTCCTTGGAGTTTTTTGTAAGGGGCGATTCAAGTCCTGCCTGATTTGGAGGCTTCTAGAGAGAGCGGATGCCTCTTCTCTCTCTTCTCCCGTTCCACAGAAAATGAATCTTTTGTGGGAAGAAAGTCTAGGACACCAGAAAGGTGGTGTTGGTTCCAAAAAGTGTTTTGTTTGATCTTGTTGCAAATTTCAGTTTTTTTTTTTTTACATTTTTTGAGAAGCATGGAGGGCCACAGAGTTGAAAATAAGCCCGGGAGTGAAATGGGACCAGTGGGAGGAGGTGTTAGAGACCCTTTCGGGGCTGGGACCATTACTACAGTTAGGTTGGATGGTGCAAATTACTTAGAATGGTCACAATCTGCAAAGATGGCCATTGGTGCTCGTGGGAAATTAGGGTATATCACTGGTGAAGAGGTGAAACCC